ACCTCATAAAGCCCAGCAGGAGAAGCGACCACACTAATCTTGCAATCGACTCCAAGCACTCATCCGCAGCAAGGGTATCAGGCCTCAGAGCACAGGCTGTTGCAGAGTTCAGAGTTTATGAGGAAGTGGTATATCAGAGGGATGCAAGGGTGGGATGAAGGCCTGATATGAGGGATCCTCAATCCTGCCCACCTTCATCCTACTGCCTTCCGAAGCCCAAACCCGAAACCCTAAAACCCTAAAACCCTAAAGCCCCAAATCCGAAGTGCAGCGGTTTAGGGTACATGGCCTCTGAATGCCAGCTCTGGCTCTTAGGAATGGGCTCTGGTGTCTCCGGTTTGAAGTCACCGGTCGGGCTTTCGGGTAATGTAGAAGCCTTAATAATTAGAATAGGGTTTGGGGGGCCCCAATATACTATAATTATAATAGGGACCCCCCGCAAAAAAAAAAAAATAGTAAAGGCAACTACTATAGGGCCCCCTTAATCTAAATGTTTCTGGGCTCAGGGGTTTCCTCAACGATAACTTCGGATTTAACATAGGGGCCTCAAGAGTTTTAACTATACTGTTTTGGGGGGTCCTTATTATAATCATACTATAAAGGACTCCACAACCCCATTCTCTTTAAGGCCCCCCTCTTTTAGAACCGTGGAAAATGGTGAGGACTTCGCCAAACGGTCTGAGAGCCAGGCATCTACGTGACCGATGGCAGGAAGAAAGTCCCTGCATTGCACTGTGCCAGAGCTGGACCTCAGCATCAGGATTTAGGGTTTAGGGGTGTAGGGGTTAGGGTTTAGGGTCGGTTTGGGGTTTGGGGTTTAGGGGTTTAGGGTTAAGGGTTTAGATGCTCCCCAGTTGCCGTGTAGAAAGCTGGAAAAGTTCCATGTCCTGGCCTACTGAACCGCTTCCTGGGGACTAGTGTCTTAGATGGTATGATCAAGCATACAACACGTCATGGTCCTGGGAATGGCTGCGATGAGCATCGCTGTGCCTGTGTACCAATGTATGCCAACACAAACATGCTGCACTAGCCGTTCTATGCAAGTTCGTACTAGGACAAACGGTTATGCAAAATTGAGTAGAGCCGTATGTAAACTTCTGATGCAGGCAATTGGTGCACGACAACATCTCGTCCCGCGCGGTTGTGTGAGCTGTATGGCATGGGGCCTGGCCCTATTATGTAAGTAGCATGCCATCATGTGCTACGCTTCGTCGCGTTGTTGGCTGGCGATTTAGTGTTCTGCGGTACCGCGGTGTAGCTGCTCTTTAATGAACATTTCCTCAAATTACTGTAAAGGAGAGAACTGTTCACTGTTCAATTTTCACGCCGTGCACCTGTTCTTGGCTATCCGAACAACAGCATGTCTCTATTCTTGCAATCCTGAAGCTGTTGTCATCATGTACCGGGCTGGCCAGGAAGACACCTCCCGAGAAGCTTAACTGACTCTATCTGCTACTCTTTGATTCGAGCATGGCCCATGAACTGCACAGTTCATTTGCAGGTAGCCGCGAGCCAACTGCCGCGAATGTCCACAACCCAACCCTTTTAATCTGACAAATGCCGATAACGACGTTCTTACGGCAACAAGTTTTGGACTAAACGTGGGAGATGCGGTTTACAAGGCTTGGCACAGGACCCCTCGGAAAGTTGCGCCAAGACATCGAGAACCTCGGCAGCGAGACTGCTGGCCCATGATTTGGAATGTTTAGCAAGGCCCAACAAAAGGTCTCGCTTCGCTCGCGAAGACAAAAAAAGAGGAAAAATCGCACAACCATACTAACACATGGTAGTAGCTCGGACTATGAAAGTGGCTGCGAGGACTGCCTGAGTGGCCGGCACTGCTGTAGGTTCCGAGCCTTGGAATCGACCAAAGGAGTCTGAAGAATGATGGTAACTAAGCAACGGAACAGATCAGCTGTCCCCAGAAACAGGCCGCCGGCAGGAGGAAGAGGGAACCCATGACAATGAGAAGCAGTGCCTGCATGCAGAGTTTTCTAAAGCTAGAGCCTGTCTACCTGGAAGAACCTACCAGCTTCAAAATCAACACCCGTTTTGCGCCTTGAGCTTGTGAGGGGCGAAGACATGACCAGGCCTGACGAACGCCCGCGCTACTGCTTTTTGCTCTTTACTCCGAATGCAACAGCTTTCAGGTCGATGAAGTCAAACAGAAAAAAACAGAACATGGCCAGCAGGGCCGTGAACTGTCGTTGCATCCACAGATGATGGCAGGGCAGTGGCTTGGGTGTTTGAGAACAAGGATGGTGTTTCGGTGATGGTGAATGTTAGTACTGATGGTCTGTTTTCGCCGTATCCGCAACTTAACAATGTCTTGTGGCTACACAGAATAGGTGTCGCGACTACGAGTCTTGCCAGTCTTTAGTGCTAGGAGCGACATTAAGATCACGGTATATCACGGTGATAGGGATGTGTTCTTCTTCGGTGTATCACCGCAACGACAAGGATGCCCTACTTGTGCAGAGTCACACATACCATGGGCCACTATAGTACTAGTAAGCTATCTTGTCTTATCTTATATAATACCTTTTTAAAAGTGTATTATCAAACTATAATACACCAACATATCTCAGCTTATCTTACCTTTTCTACTCGCTTGTAATATATTATATTATGTTCTTCCAGATTTAGTGTAGTTTGTTATACTATCTTATCTTATCTTATCGTATATCATATTACATTATATGATGTTATACTATATTGTACTATACTATACTATACTAGACTTACTAGACTGTATTCTAGTCTCGCACACAGAGGGCCCAGCACTGTCCTCTGGAAAAGCAGCCCAGGACCTCCGTGGGACCCAGGAGGGAAGTGGAGTAGAGGGTCTCGGCTGCAAGGCCAAAATCTCATGACATATTATAGACATATATATATATGTACATATATATGTATACATAGATATGTATGTACGTGTATATATGTGGTTTACACACACAAACATAACTCAAATATTTATATATGTATACACACATGCATGTATGGATTATATCTATCTATATATATATATATAGAGAGAGAGAGAGATAAGTATGAACACATGTATAGATGCTGCCGCCGGTACCGGTTTTGAGATCATTTGGCAGCAGGAAGGCATGCTGTCTTTGATTGACCGGCCTGAGCACTCCAAAACTCTTGCCATCCCACCCTACGCGTCAAACTTAAACCCGTCGCCACTACTTACCGCGTGCACAGGTCAGCACAACGAGAACTTCGTTGAGGTCAACAGACCCTGAAGTTTCTAAGGCCCAGATTTGGAGATTCATGGGCAGTTATAAGTGGCTAACCACAGTTAATGACCCACATTATATTAGGGGACTCATAACCCACAAGCGGGGTTTTTAAGTACAATGTTAGCCTATTTGTAACCCTGCTTGTAGTTGCCCATGAGCCACCATGAACCTCCAGTAACCCTGACCCCTAAACCCTCGAGCCTTATAACTTATTGAACTTATAACTGCCCCGTAAAGGAACCCTTCTAGAGCCCTTACACATATTAAAGGAGCCCTACTTAAAACCTCCAAGGACATTGGGACATGAAGGCATAAAGCCGCATACACAACCCAAGACCCCTCGGGAGCTCCTGAACCCGATGGCACCAAACCAGATATCCTACAATATAAGGCCTTCGTAATTAGAATAGGGTTCCTTTGAACGGTTCCTTATATGAGCTACTATACAAACACTATGAGGGCTTAGTGTAGGGGCCTTACTAATTAAAAATAGGGCTTTGGGGTGTATCCTTAATTTCGCCCTTCCGGGAACACGATCCTGAAGATCGGTACCAGTTGGCCAGCTCTGCTGAGGTTCCCACCAATGAAACACACGAAGCTGCCAGTGGTAGCCTGAGCACGGGGACTGTTTAGGGTTTGAGGGTTTAGGGTTTAGGTTTCTGGCTTCATCCGAGGGTTCTGGAAAGTTTGTAACTAATTGTTTCCCCCTTAGATTATCGTATGTATAGCTCACCCCAAGACTGACTTCGGGGTCTGAAACATTAGGTCGTTGTATCGCAATTTGTCACTGCTGGACAAAACCCAAAAACCCAATTAACTGGTTTGGCATCCGCTGAAGCGTAAAACACTCCCATACCCTGGACCCCGAGCCACTACAAACCCTGAACCCCCAAACCCCAAGCCCTAAACCCCCAAACCCTGAATCCCATAAGCCGCAAAACACCAACACCCTGGTCTACAGTTCAGGGTTTGGGTTGCCATGGGCTGATACTAAATCTGACTAAACTCTCTGGGGCCCTCTGACCATTCGGCGATCCGTTCTCAGGTTCGTTAGCATTTCAGAGCCGGCTGGAGGTCGTGGTTTAGGATTTCATGCAGCAAACTACTGTTGATGATATAAATCCTGCATTACCTTAAGGACCCTAAACTATGGGAATTGTGGTATATACCTATATATTAAGGGTAATGCAGGATTTATATCATCAACCGTAGGATTGCAGTTTTGGGGGGTCGGCCCGACTGCCTAAGGTGCAACGAAGAAAGACGCATACTGCAGCATGGTTGCCTTCGGACCTTCTCGAAACCACTAAACTCCGAATAGTACATCCAACGGAAGTCGTAAGACAGCGCCTCAGCTAAGAAGCATTAAGGACAAGTTCAGTTACATTGGCATCTGGATCAGTAAGGACTATTTGGTGAGCGTGTGGCATTGTTGAAGTTGGGCTGCCCCAAGGCTCTGGCCCCGATCAGCTCGAAAATCAGATTGATTTGGGGTAAAGCCTCAGCACGTTCTGGCATGTCCGCTAAAACCGAGTCATGATCTACGTTCAGATCTTGGCCGACGGTCTGGAAGCCTGCAGCCTGTCGACACAGGACAGGTACCCATAGGCCCCTAAGTAGTTCCTTTTTATGGTTTATATTTGGAATCCTATAAGGTAGTCTCCAAAAGGAACTACTTAGGGGCCTATGGGTAGACACAGGCCGAGGCCGCTTCTTTACATCCGTCCTGTGCGATGTTAGGCGCCCAGCAATCGCAACGATAAGGCTCGAAGCGACCGCGCCGACGGCAATGCCTGGCCAAGCAAAGAGCACACGAGAACCTGCTGCAGCAGCCGCAGTAGCATGTGCTTGGTGGTCGCTATATAAACTAGCAGCAGCAAACATCATCAAAGTGAGACTCTTCGGAAACTGCGGTCTGAGGCAGCCCGGAACCCCCGCCTGTCCGCACGGCGGAACAGTTGAGGCTGGGTCTGTGGTAGAACAACGCCGTCTCTACCTTCCCCGTTGCGGTTTGGCATCCCAACGCCATGCAGTAAGGAGTGGCTTGCAAATCAACGCAGAGACTAAAGAACTCATTCTGTCTGAAGATGCCCGCCTCTTCAAGAAGGCAAGACTAACAGCAGTAACAACAACACGTCACATCTGTGTGCAAAACATGTTCCGAATCTTGCGCAGGCTTGGGGAGCGCGCCGAGAAACGAATTGGGAAAATGTTGAGCGGGTACGCCATTGTCACCTTGGGCAAGGGTGAAAGTTCGGTGTAAGGGGTTCAAAACGGATTCAACTCAAGGCATCGAAAGGCGCTGTTTCTCAGCGGGTGTTTTGCCACATCCCAGAAGCAAGCAACCAACCCGACGGATTAGGTGGCCACTGAGGCTGATCTCAAGTACACAGTTCTCAGGGAATTCGCACACCCTCAAAACTAAACGAAGACGAGGCTCGGCAAAGGCCATGCTGGCCATCCCGGAACGGACCATCCAGTCATTCGCACAGAGCATAGGCCTCATCGAATCAAACACATGCGTGTTTCTCAGCAGTGATGTGAGATTCGAGGTCATACATTCCAGTTGAGGGGTGAGTCATGCAGCTCTCTCCGGAGTTGAACTGTAAGTAGCCTGGCGTTGAGGGTGTGGCGTAGTACAGGTCAGACCGACGGCAGCTTTGGGTTGGCCGGAGGCTCCATGAAGATATCCGTTGAAAAACCCTAAACCCTAAACCCGTGACCGTTGCGAGACACGTCTTCCCTTTGCGGTGGATCCTAAAACACACTGTCAGGCTCTCGCTGCAAGTTGCCCAAGATGTTGCCCAGCGTATCTTCACCGAAGGCCAGGAAGCCGGTGACCTTGTTCATATTGTGTTATCGTAGGTCAGGTTATATCATATTATGAGATATTTCGCGATACTACGGCCCATGATTCTGACATTATGTAACCCATTATTCGTTTATAATTACAGCGATACTTTACTATTATACTGGAACGTTGCATCATCGATTTTAGGATGGTGGCAGTCCGAGGTAGACATTCCCTGAAGCAGCTCTAAGGGGCTTGGATTCCGATTTCTGCGTAGCTGTGGAGTTCCTTTAAGGCTCGGCTCGGGGCGTGGGGGTTTAGGGTGTACGAGTTTAGGGGTTTAGGGCTTGGGGTTTACCGAAACCCTACAGAACCTACCCTTCTAGGGCTCCTTATGATTTACTTCTATATATATATATATACATATACACGGATATGGTTCCTTTTGGGAAGGTAGGCTATTTAGGGTCCAGATAGGGGTTTAGGAGTTTAGGAGTTTCGGGATTTTCCCATCTGCCGCAACTTCTCGAAAATCCCCATAGGGAAGGTAGAGGAGTTTGGGGGTTAGGGTGTAGGGGTTTAGGGGCGACTCTCCGCTAAACTTTGCCCTCCACCCTGAACATCCTGAGCTGAACTGATGTCTGATCATCACGACTCCCTTGGCGCAACAAACTTCATCAAGGCTGGAGCCACCCGTTGCAACCGCTTGGAGCAGTGCAAGTAGGAACCAAGTTCAGAGATAGTTGAAGCACACAGTGCAACTTCCTTCGGTGACGGAATCTTCTCCCTAAAATCCGGCACCCTGGACCCCGAAGCATCATTTCTAAGCCCAAACCCCGCCTAAAGCCTGATTTAAAACCCGTCTCTGGGGTGCCGACCCCCATCATCAGGTATACCACACAACAGAGCAGCATTGCGCCTGGCTGTCGGCCAGGCATCAAGGTAGCCGAAGATTTGGGGCTTGAACCCGGGCTTGGGGGGTTTGGTCACGTATGTCGGGTCTACTATCTGAAAGGTGCTCTGCGCCTGGATTTCAAGTTTGGAATTTAAGTGAGAGAGAGAGAGAGAGAGAGAGAGAGAGAGAGGATCCGTATCGCTGAAGGTAGCCCCAAACTCTAAACATCGCAAAACCCTACCAAAATCCACAACCCCAAACCGAAAACCCTAAGTCCGGCTAGGACTGCTTCAGTTGGGCTCCGAGTTTCTGGCGTGTGGAGACTTTCTGCATTCGCTGGTAGCTCTTCTGCTCCAGCCTGGCCGGCAGGCGGCTCTACTGCTCGACCCCCGAACCAAACAAACACACACACACATATATATATACACACACATACGTGCATACGTACATACATACATACATACATACATACATACATACATACTTGCTTACTTACTTACTTACTTACTTACTTACTTACTTTACTTTACTTACTTACTTACTTACTTACTTACTTACTTACTTACTTACTTACTTACTTACTTGCTTACCAACATACCAACATGCAAACATGCATACTTACGTGCATACTTATATACATACATTACGTACGTACATACATACATACATTCATACATTCATTCGTTCATACATTCATACATTCATACATACGCACGTACATGTACATATACACAAACATATACATACACATACACATATACATATACATATACATATATATATATGTATGTATGTATGTATGTATGTATGTATGTATGTGTGTGTTTCGATATTCACATACATACATACATACATACATACATACACACATACAAACACACATCCATCCATGCATGTGTTCAAACATGTGTGTATATATATATATATAGATACAACTTGGTATACTGTTACATTGACACATATGTATGTATATACAGATGCAGATACAACCGTATGTCTGCACATACATACATCAACATGCTTACCTGTACATAGTGCAAACCTACCTGCCTACCTACCTACCTACTTACTTACCTACCAAGCTACCTACCTACCCACCCACCTACCTACATGCCTGCCTGCATGCATTCATACGGCTGAGTAAGCTTATGCGGAAACTTACAGGAACAAGGGTGTTAATGTCTGTGCATATGTAGGTACACATATAAATATGTACATGCGTATGCCTATGTCAAGGCCTGTCTCTATGGACATGGTTATGTACGCACGTGTATCTGCATATGTGTAGATTCCAGAAGTAGATAGACACATAGCAAGCTAGATACATAGATAGATAGATAGATAGATAGATAGATAGCCAGATAGATAGATGGATGGATGGATAGACAGATGGATGGATAGATAGATGTGCAGCTAGAGAGAGGGATAGATAGCTAGATGGATAGTTAGATAGATAGCAAGAAAGAGATATAGATAGATAGACAGATAGACAGTTAGATGGAGCCAGAGCGAGAGAGAGAGAGAGAGAGAGAGAGAGAGAGAGATTGAGAAAGCTATAACAAAGTATATCTGTAAAGAGATGGAGAAAAGATATAAAGAGAGATAGAGACAGAGAGAGAGAGAGAGCTACAACAAATGTATACCTCTATAGAGACGGAGCAAAAGAGATATAGAGAGAGAGATAGAGAGAGACAGAGAGAGAGAGAGAGAGAGCGAGACATAGATAGGTAGATAGGCAGAGACATAGATAGATAGATAGATAGATAGATAGATAGGTAGATGGATAGGACAGACAGACAAATAGATGGGCAACGAGAAACATAGACGTACAGATAGATAGGTAGATAGATAGATAGATAGGCAGATAGGTAGACAGGTAAATAGGTAGATAGATAGATACAGAGATAAATAGATAATTAATCAGATGGATAGAGAGGCAGATGGATAGATAGATAGAGAGATGGGTAGATGTATATAAACGCATGTATGCAAGTCGTATGTAGGTGCACAAAGCTTCGTGTAATGCGTACCGACAGATAGCTGAAAAAGGACTCTCTCGAACTCGTGCCGGCCTTTAGCCTTGTTTGGTGGTCCACCAGACACCAACAGAACTGAATCACATGTTGGAGCGGGCAGCAACTTCCGGCACAGTTCACGGTCGGCGCGTGATTCCTACGATCTTAGACGCCGCCTGATGCCGTCTGTAAAATCCGAATGACCACCTCTCAGTAAAGTGGCAGCCAGGAAGTTGGAACATCATTATCCTCATGCCCCTAAGGTAAAGTGTAAGGGATCCTGGCACTAATCATCCTAAATCCATGTTGCAACTTTCTGGGCTTCACTGTATGTAGGCTGTACACAGGTGATTCGGCCTCGTGCAAATGGAAAGACCACTGGTGGATCTTGCCAAGATAGCTTTACACTCTACACACTTACTTTGACAGTGGATGCGGTCTTCACGGCTTTCCCCAGAGCAGCGCGGCTCCACAGGGAACGCGAGAATGCATCTATGCTGATAATTGCTGTACATATTTCTCTTTGTATGACTACCCATAAGGCCCCTTAGTAGATCCATTTGGGGATTACCTCATAGGATTCGAAATATAAACCATAAAAAGGAACTACTTAGGGGCCTATAGGTAGGCCCATTAGGACCTGAAGATCTTCATGGGGGAACCACAGGTTTCCATCAGTTGCTCTCTTTGAGTTATCTCGGGGTGCTGCAACATCAGTGCCACCTCCCTTGGAGCCTCTGCGACCGTATTTGGTTCCGACTTCTGTGACGTGGTTCGTACCATCGTAGATATCCCCTCCCCGAAGAGCATCTCCAAGTCGAGGCTCGTCCTGCGCCTGACTACCTCAAGAGGTTTGCCTTCGAGATAACAAATGATCTGCAGGTAGTAGTCCTGAATGGTCTCAACGGTCTCCGTGCTCGTAATCCTCAAACGGCTGGGGGGATACCCGGTCAGCCAGAGCCTCCAGGCTTCCCAGTCTTTCAGTTTCAGTGCTGGCCTCGAGACGCAAGGGTTTAGGGGTCCGGGCCGTGCGATGGCAGCCACAAGGCCTGTGGACAAGATTGCCCCCAGGAGCTGCCCCAGCAGGTATTGCGGTGCCAGCTCCTCTCTTCTTCAACCACCAGGCCCAAAAAAGTTCAAACTTTTTAGTAGACATAATATATAAGGCCAAAAAGTTTAAAGTTCTTCCATTGGCTATCTAAGGCTCTTCCTTGCAGCCAAAAATCACAGTTGGCCCTACTATGCGAGCCGGATTCAATGAAGCCCCTGTGTACTGACCCCCCGAGCCCGCGCACGCAGCCATGGCCAAGCCAGCCACCACCGGAGCAAAGCTTCCGCAAGCTGAGGGCGTGTCCAAGCCACACATGAGGAAGCTGGACATAAGCATACTAGTCATCAGGCATTCCCAACCGATGATCATGCTGTTAGTTACGTCTGCGGGAACTGTCGACCGATCCAGACATCCCGGGCCAGTGACGCCGGCAAGAAAGAACCGTTCGCTGTTAGGCATCAGAGCCTGTGCGAAGAGAGCACCCAGGATACTGCCCAAGCATTGCATCGTGCAGTACATCATGGCGTGAAGCCATGGATGATATCCCAGTGCAGCCGTGCTCAAGCTGATCAGCGGGTTCAGGTGCCCGCCTGAAGCATGCCCAGATATGAACACGAGTGCAGCAAGCGTGAGCCCTTGCAGAACTGGTGCAAAGTCTTCCGGAGCCGTGTGTGTGGCGAGCTGGAAGAAAGCGACGCAAAAGAGTTCTACAGCCAGGGAGAGCCCGAAGGTTCGGCTCTTGATCGCCTTGTAGTTGAAGAGGATACACTGCTTGTTCGGTGCAGTCATGGTTTTTTCGAGGAAGATCCGGTAGGGGCGCCAAATGGAGCCAGAGAGACCATTCAATTTACTACCCTGCGAGCCTTACACTGCCAGAACATCTGCCTGCCGGACTTACTGGACTATCCTCTATGGGTTTGTGTCTTAGGGTGTGAGGTTCCTGTGTCTGTTGAGCAACAGGGAAGGTCACGACTTAAGAAGTTAAGCTGCAGAGTGATGTGCAGTGCATGATCGAACTGGGGCTCGGATATCTCAGGTGAACTACACGCTAGCAGTGTCATGACAGCCGTTCAACTGAGTAGCTGAGTGTCCCGCTCGGTGTAAATCGAGGGTACATTTGGCCTGCACGCAGCGGTCAGGTTGAGGGTTAGGGTGTAGGGTTAGTTAAACCAGAGTCTAGGCAGAAAGATCTTCTATGAGGAGCAACGGGTTTTGAGGTGTTGGCTTGAAGAACTCAGGAAAGGCAAGCTGCCACAAATAGGCAGAATTCAAGCACACAGATGTTTCCTGCTCTTTCAAGAAGCAAGCTTCCTGGAAAACCGAACATCCATCCTGCGGCTCAAATGTGCCAAAGCGGCCAGAAAACTGATGAAAGGGTTGCATCCTAATCCCGAGGCGATGCACCATGTACCAAATTACCAAACTCTAGCAGACGGAACACAAGAGCCACACTAAGCCACAACAACTCGCGGAATGAACGGCACAGTCACCTATGCACCACTATAAGTGCCACTATACATGAATGCGCTGCCTTTCCTAAATCCGATCAGTACGTACACGCATACGTAGGTAAATGCACATCCATCCCATCCATCCATCCATCCAGCCAGCCAGCCAGCCACACATACATGTAGATCTAGATCTTGATGTAGATGTGTGTACATATATAGATACATACATGCAGCTGCACCTACATTCGTAATTACGTAGTACGGCGATTTGTTAATATCTGATCTGCACACATGTAACATCATGTGCCACAAGTGTGTAAACATAAATGCCACATAAAGAAAGTTAGCATTCAGCCTGCATGCATGCATGAGTTGCATACCTATATGATGTCAATGCATGCAGGGCCGCGTTAAACATTTCTGTTTCACGCAAACAAAACACACACACACACGAGAAACAACACACGAAATGCGAACCGTCGCAATGCAGAACCCTCCGCACATGTTGCTCCACTGAGCTCCAGGCTGGCAGCAAAAGGCAAATATCGAGAGCGACAGCATCTTGAAGCAACCTCTACTGCAAGAGCAGCTCGTCTCACTAGCTGTTGCTTTGCAAACAGCGTTATTCTGAAATCAGCCATCATGCTTGCACACTCAAAGCGCAATTGACAGGTTTCAGTAGTGCCTGCATTGAAACTGCACCACCGTCGCAACCGTGAAATTTACCCAGACTGAAGAAGACACCACATTCAACCTGTGGTTGAACCGTCACAGGAAAATACCGTGCAGAAACCCGCTGCCTGTGATGCCACCCTTGGGACTCAAAGCAGCGAAGCTGTCT